CTCTCCTTGTATTGTATGTACACCTAAGCTTTAAGGAGAAGGGTGTCCAGGGAGTAAGGCGTCCCAATGCCCACTTCTTTGGTGAAGTCGCTGCGAAGACGCAGCCCTTGCTCGAGCAAATAACTTTTCATCCGGTCGGTCAGGGAATCTGAGTGACTTCTCGGTTGAATCTCTCTATATAATCATGGAGAGATTCATCTTTCCCCCGAATAATGGCCTCGAGCGACGCCTCGGATTTCGGGTCTCGACGGGAGGCGGTGAAGTGCCTAGTGAACTGTGTCTTTAGGTCCTTCCAGTAGGTGATGGATTCAGGCTCGAGGCTCTTATACCATGTCATGGCTCCCTTCCTTAGAATGGTGGGGAAAATCTGGCACTTGATGGTGCCCCAGACGTTGCGGTAATCGAACATCGTATCAATTTTCTCAATGTGGTCATCTAGGTCCATCGTGCCATTATAAGTCGCTAATGAGATGAGGGCCTCAATAATTGCATGGGACAGAGGACCGCGGGGGGTCGTCTTTATCGCTCCAGATTAGTGAGGGCGATAGAGCGGTCATGCTAGGGGGTTCTGACGCGGCACAGTGAGTTCCTTAGTCGACCCTTTAGTTTCTTTGGCTGCCCTTCAGCTTTTTTCCTTTCGGGAGTCGAGGAGCAACGTTCCTAGCGAGGAGGAGAACGATCCCGCTTCTAGGTGATCGCAGTTTGTGGCCTCTCCAGCTGCGGCCCACGTACGGTCTATTATTGTGAGGGGCTTTGAGATTCATCCCTTTGGTCTCTCCACGGGGGAGAGTAAGGACGGATTTCTCATCATCGCACGGACGAGCTACGAGAAACTGGTCACCGATGTCTCCGAGGGGAAGAATGTGACTGTCGTTCTTTCTCCAGCATCCCAATACATTCGTTCTGCTGGAAAATCATCAGGTTTGTCTGATTGATCTCCGCGAATAAGGCCACCGTGGTAGGATTGGCATTGGAAAGAAGACCAATTGGTTGGAAAACTGTCGAACTCTTGAAACATTAGGTGGCGTTGTAGGCCGCATCATCGGGAGAGGGAGAGGCAGTGTGGTCGTCCCTAGGGTCACCTTCTTCAACCGCAGGCGCCACATTGTTGTCGTCGTCTTCACCGTCAGCGAAGGTGATGAAGGCAGTTTTGTGGACGTTGTCACCAGTGCGTTGGCTGGCCATGATCTAGAGAACTTGAAGATTTTCTTTGGTTCTTTGAATTTAGAGGAAGAAAAGACGGGGAAGCAAAATGTTTCCACAGGCGGCGCCACTAGTCTTACCGGATCAAAAAGGAGATCAACAATCAACAACATGTCGTGAGCTCCAAGTTCGCCGATGGTGGAGATGAGGAGGGGGTGTACCTGCAAGGCACTCTGATGCCAAAGTAAGGAATGTAGCAAAGAGAGAGAAAGTACATATAAGTGGATATCAGTTAGAATACCTGGCCCTCCTCTGGAGAAGGGTATTTATAATGAGCTCCTAGCGCTGGGCCAACAATTATCGGCATTGGGTTGGATCTTTAGGCCCAACACAGATAACTGGCAGGATCTACATGGAGTAGGGAAGACTAGCATGTGGTCTTCATCCTAGGTCAACTGCCCCGTGAACTTTGGGAGGTGGAAGACCTGTTATTGAGGGCGAAACCGACGCCCAAAAGTCGTGGATAGTTGGCTGATAACATGTCCCTGCGTGGAGAGCGTGGGGAAGACGCGTGAAGATTGTTCCCCGTGTGGGATGATGGATTGGACCTTTGTTGAGCCCTCCCTGACGAGGAGTTGGGTTGGGCCATGTCCGACAATGGGCCAGCCTCTGGCACAGTACAGAACAATAACAATACATTATTTCTTAGAGAGCAATTTTGTACCCTAATGATTTTGTCTAGTGTGTAGCTTTTGCTAACAGGTTCTGATTTTGAAGATTTGGTGTATGACATCATCAGATTCTTGACTCAACACACTTTGACTCTGAAGAGATACAAATTTGCACTTTGCAAGATTATGCCAAGTTTTAGAATGCTCTTAAACAACGGTTCTGATGAACGTTTGTGCTAAAGCTTCTAACTGTGACTCTGATAGAAGAGCCTATGAAGGTTTATCAAACTTTTAAGATTTTAAAGATCAAGTTTTGAAGACTCTGAAGACAAGGTTCTGAGAAACTGTGTTTAGACTCTGAAGACAAGGTTCTAAAGTTTCTCTCAACCATAATCTTGATCCTTCTAAACATGCTTCAACAACATTTACTCATAAGCCTCTGAAGATTAAAAGATAAGATCAAAAGGCTTATGTGAGAAAAATTGTACACAGTACAAAATCAAATATTCCTTCCACTACAATGATTTTGTGGAGTAAGGACTATACTATTATACCATTTTGTCTCCTACCTTGGCAGACCGTTATGTAAAGCGTCAGATCATTTGTGAAGATTTTCATTCTACCCTCCAATGATTTTTTTTATTGCCTATATAAAAGGAGACTTGGAAGAATGAATGAAGCTGTCATTCTATGCTATTCACGCTACATCACAACACTTTTATTGAATTGAATATTCGTGTGAATATAGAATAGAAAACACACGTAGAGCTTTTGTTCGATTTTGTGTGATAAATTCATTGTACTTAAATCTGTGTAATCTGTTTTCTTAGAAACAATCTTGTAAGCACACCCTTGTATCAATCTTTTGATTGTATTGTTTATATTAATCCTTGAGAGACTAGAATCTTTTGATTGTATTGTTTTCTTAGAATCATTGTTTGTACACACCCGGATAGTCTTTGTGTATCTATAATCAATCGATTATAATGGATCAAAGCATTGTTGATAAGAAAAATCACCTTAGTGGGTGGAATAAATTAGTTTAGTTAACAATGAATCAATATAAAAATAATTGTGTTTATTTATTTTTTGTTTTTGGTTCATCTTTAAGAGTTTTGAGTACAAAATTTTTTTATCATAAAAATCCAATTCAATTGTCATTTCTTGTGTTTTTTGTCACATTCGTGGTATTGTCAATAAATTCCACTATATCCAATATGATGAGTTTGAGTTTGTAGAATTTCTCTTGAATGAAAGAATGTTTGATGTCTATCTTTCTTGTTCTTTCAAGCTTGGACATGACATTTGCCACTGTGTTCTTCTCTCGAGGTGTGTGGTCAATTTCATATATTCTAAATGAGGACAAGTTTTTGTCTACTATAGTGACGTACTTTTGCAACAAGGATCTTTGGTTTACACCCCTTTTATCAATTGTGAATCTACACGCAGTCTGATTTCCTCCACTCCCATATCTGATGGCAAAGTGAGGTTGGTGATGAATGCTTCTTACTTCGCTTGATTACTAATGGTTGTAAATTCAAAACACAAGAATAATTATACTACCAAAGGTAGTGAGTTATGATGATCTCAAAATGAACCTACTAAGGGCAGTGAGCATTTCATTCAGTTTCATGATCTTTTTCTTCATAGCTAAAGTCCTCTTCTTGATTAGTGCATTTCATTTATCTGAGTTGGATTTGATACATCTTTCTGTTAAATAGAATCCAAAGAATATTCTGACTCACACAACAGGTACATTTTCCCTAGTTACGTCTCATGTTATATTATCAGACAGACTTGAACACACTAGTGAGATGGCTGTCACTGGATATGATGATCATATTTCCCAGTGAAACTTCTAGCATTTCAATGGTTTTTTCTTCAAAGAACTTTTTTATCATTCTTTGGTACGTGGCACTTGCGCTTTTCATGTCAAAAGGCATAATCATGTGTTGTTGTCATGAAGGAGGTAATTCCTGTCTGTTTCATGCATGGGGATCTCCATAATAGACATTCATAAATGATAGTAGGTTATATTTAGCCGAATTGTCTACGGGCTTATCGATGATGGGTATGAATATTTATGACATGCTTTGTTGAGATTTGTGTAGTTAAACACACATCTTCCAATTGCTTCATTCTTTCTTATTTAGGACACAATTAGATAGGTGTGTAGTGTAATTTAGTTCAAAAATAAAAATATCTTGAAGAATCTCCTAAACTGAGTTCCTATTAGCTTTGGACTTTTCAAGGGATTGGCGCATTCAAACAGAGGGGTCAATGTTCAATTGATGACAAGTCACGGTAGGGTTGATACAAGGCATTTCATATGGGGAAACAACAAATTGGCATCAATTATACAATTTTAAAAAATAGAAATGAGACATTTCTCAACAAAATAAAAGTTTTATTTTTTTACCCAAAAAGAGGTAGAGTTAGAGGCATTAAATCAGTAGAAACAATTTATAGAAGAAGACAAAGTATGTGTAAATATTATTAGATATCAAAATAAAGACAAATTTCATAAGGAAAAGCACTAACTTAGTCAACGAGTAAATATACTGAAATAAGGTGGAGGCGTAAAATCAAGCAAGTGCCAACCCGACGAGTCACTGAAAAATAACTAAAATGATAAAGTATATCACATGCTTGATTCAAAATGAAGGAAAGTTGATATAAAAATGTTCTAGTAACAAAATGTTATTCTCAGACATAATTCTGCAAAAATATAAAGCAAAACAATCCATCCAATTTATTATCTTATTGTACAAGATAATATGGAACAACTATAACAGTAAAATCATAAAAATTACAGCTTAAGAATATTTGTAAGGCCCGCTCCAGCTTCTACAACACATATACAGCATTGCCCAACCTAAACTGTTCCAGAAGCAAAGTCTTCCATTCCATGCCATCATCAAAACAAACCAAAAATAACTGAAATAAACTATCCAACAACAACAGACTTAACCTAAGACTCTTATAACTGCCTAACTCACACATCTAAAATACGAACTATTTTTTTTTTGAATAACGCACAACAGGAACACACATTCGTTTATGAATAACTGCCTAAGACGCATTAGAATTCAATTCTACTAAGTATACCAGAGATAAGAGTAACAAGAAGATGCAGAAAAGGAGAAAGATAAAAAGGGTTACACACTGTAGGCATCAGACCCATGTTTACATATTCCGCAATTCTTTGTCGGCCCTATCAAGCAACTTTTTGCCAAACATATTGCTGCGCATCATTAGAGAATTTGCTTGGATCAGATCCAGCAGGGCATTCTTAAGGTAGGGATTACCCTGTTGATTAAATAAGAAAAACAAAGTTATAACAACAACCAATAAACCAATGAGGTATGCAGATAATAGAAGATTGAATTTAATAGTGTTTGTTTAAAATATAAAAATACTCTCCACATGCCGAAAGTGTGAGAAACCACTGCGCATATTCCAATAAAACATGTGATATGTATTTGTTTTAACTGAGAAATACACTGCTTAAAATTCTTAGTTAAGACACTCCATGCATTCAAATGGGCTTACCTTAAATTTCACCAGTGCTGTACAGATGACATAATTTCCAAATGGATCCACAAGGAGCCTTGATATATTTGGGGAATTAAGGAGCTCAGCAATGATTTTTTCAGATAGATGTACACCTGCGTCATGGAAAAACTTTTCCACTACATTACTCCCATACTTATTGCAGGAAAGATACACAAATCGTCCTTCAAGCTGCCTGTGTAGGTTGCCTGAGATTCTCTGTATTTTCATAGACAATAGATGTTGAAGCACATAGTTGCTGGAATATGAGAAAATAAAATGAAATTAGTTATCGCGGCTAGAAATAAAATAACTAAATATTCATACGTAAGGCCTAGCTCAACCGTCAATAACAACTGTTAGGCTGGATATCTTCTCATTTTGTGGTGTCCTGGGATCGAATCCAGGATATCTTCCACTTTGTGTGTGAGTGTATAGTAGTGTTTGTCAATTTATCTACAAACTAAATACTTGTAAAAACTAACCCATAACAATCTTCTGCTAATAATGGAGCATTTAGTACGATGTCATCAATCAGCCGATTCTTAACTTCTCCTTGAGCATGGCTAGCGCAATACTGTATCACACAACATCCGGTCTTGTCTCTTGCAATCGACAGAGAGTTAGTTGCAATAATGCTCAGGAATATCTGTGCCAAAAGTCCATAATCAGAACATGATAAGCACATAAACTGATGGAAAGTAGTTTGACAACAGGTATACATCTAATAAATACAAGTGGTGAGTATTTATCTAATAAATAAATAATATTGGTGATCCTTTTTCTTTCTTCATAGTATAAATGCTCAAGTGATAATCCAAACAAGAGCAAACATAACACTGTTAATCTACTGAAAAAATTGTTGAAAAAGAAAGGAATACATTAAAAAGATATTGAAAAGTGTATGGTTAAGCATGATAGCATGGCAGGACTACTATTGAGTTTCAGAAAAAAAACATCTAAACCCCGAATCTGCGCAGTGCCAACACAGGCAAGGATTGCGAGACACAACCTTAACCTTAACCAAGGCACTACACATTAAAATAGATAGATTATTAGTGAAAAGGATGCACAATTTGAACTTCAATTATCTCATAGAATCGAGAATATGCAATATAACAAAAGAAAAATAAGAAAACACATTTTACCTTAGTATCTTCCTGTGGGAAATTTCTCAGACAAGAGAGAGCCACACGATGACCATTAACATCCTTAGACAACAAAATAGCAGCAGGATTGAAAGCTGACATAATAAGAATCCTTTGATCTCTGGTGGTAGCATTCTCACACAGTTTCTCAACAGAACGAAATCTTCGACAGTAAAAAAAGACTTTATCAGTGTAAATTAATCAATTCAAAAAATAAAATCACAGTGCCTTAAGAAACAAGTAATCAAAGAGATGGTTGAAAACATACCCATGAATATCAACAGAAATTTTAACGAGCTGACATTCATAGCTAGTGACCATTAGAGTGACCCGAGTTAGTTGATTTTGGTTACACAATCCTATCATCTTTTGAATAACAACATTACCAAATTCATCAAGCATCAACTCAGAAACATTATCAATCACCTCCGTGAAAATATATGAAACAGCTTCTCTTCCAAATTTTTCCATCAATCCCCCCAAAATCATACTTCCATATTGATCCTTAGCCATTAAATAAACCATCCCACGAATTTGATCAAACCAATATGATCTCCTTCCATTATCATTGACAATACCATTGACATTGACCAAAGGCCCAGAGGATTCATTCAGTAAACCATATTGAAGTCTTCCACCCAATCCATTACCACCACCATTACCAGCAACAGAAACTCCCCCATTCAAAAGATTGTTAACATTCCCATTCCCATAACCATAACCATAACCATTACTATTACCATAACCATAACCATAACCATAACCATAACTATTACCATAACCATAACCATTTTGCCTCCACAAAAACTCAATTTGATTATACTTCACACGATCAATTTCAGACATCATCAAAGGTCTACCTCGACCATAACCATAACCAGCACCATTGAAACCAAACGCGGTTTCTTGGTTCTGACAGCAATTAGTAGCCTGAACCCCATGGTTATAGTAACGAGAATCCACAAAAGAAGAACCCCCGTAACCACTCGACGGATTACCAACAGAAAGCCGAGAAAAAGAATCTTCTAGGGTTTGATTCTCATTCCAAGGGTTTTGAATTTGAGACACAAATCGACGATCACTCACAGAGGGGTTTTGGTTCTGGTTAACGTTCACGTTCGGTGTTTGGGTTTGATATGGATTCAGCGACGAAACGCGTCGAAGAAACGTTGATTGAGGTGAAAAAGAAACTGAGTCGTCATCAATGGACTCGGGATTGAATCGTTTCATCTTTACCTACGAAAGAAGAAATAACAACGACGACGGCACAGTGAGTAGGATTCTTGGAAAAGAGGGTTTAGTTTTTAGTTTAGAGGGTTAGAACTTAGAAGGAATAAGGGTATTTATAAGGTTAGTAATTAATTATTAATATTTAATATTAATTAATAAGGAAAGAAAAATAAAAATACGATTAACATAAGGCTTAATGTGACTGAGTAAGGCGAAAATTTAGGAATGGAAGAGGCGAAGAAAGTGGAGTAGTTTAGCAAAGAGAGTATTTCTATAACTCGAAATTCTGCATGCAATATATAGTAACTTTTCATGCGAAAAAACTTGAAAACGACGAGAATATTAAATATTAAATGAATAAGATAAAACTATACTATATAGTTTTAATTTTTGTGTCGTATAATATAAAGTGAGCCCCACTATATGTCGTTTTGGGGCCAAGTTGCATGTGGGCTTCGTTTCAGTTTTTCAGATTTTGGTCAACACTCGAGCAAGACTCTCTTACTAGCATTTTTGTCTTTTCTAGAAAAAATAGTTATAAAAGAATATTTTATTCTATTAACTTCGCTTGCAAGTTGTCAATGGGTTGACTAGGTGAAAGTTTTATTGTCTATTTATTTACTATGGAATTAGTTTGGTTTGGATTTAGATTTTTTTTAATGAGTGGTTTGTCATATAAGTTTCATAATTTGGTATTATTTTGATAGTGTCATTGAGATGATATCATGCCTCTTTATATACTTTTAATTTGTCAATCAATTGTTTCCTACTAATGTATCTTAAATATAATGTTTTTTCAAGAATCATTAATAAAAATACTTTCTTTGACCAAGTTAAGAATAAGGCTTATGTCTCATAATTTAAGTCTTATTTTAAAACAATATTTACATATATGTTTCAATATATATACATACTACTTTTTTTATAAATAAATTTAAAATAAATTTATAAATGTACTACTAAGAATTGAAAATCCACATCTCATATGGTATATAGTTTGATTTTTAAAAAATCAAATATTTTATTATAAAAAAAGTATATCTACATTCATTGAATAACAAAGATATCTAATTTATATATAATTCAAACATATAGATTATTAAAATAAAAAAAAAACAATAAAGTCCTATTAATTAACTAAAAAAATACTAATATTTAATACACTAAACACTAAATACTGGTTTTTGGTCGGTGTCTCATAGTAGGATTCAAATATTAATTAATTGATCATATTTTAAAATTTAAAATTAGACCATTTCACTAGATTTAACAATGACATTAGTTGATTTTCTAAAATAAATAAAAAAAACTATAACATTAGCTTAGTTTGTTATCACACATGTCCTTGAGGTCTAGTCACTCTCGTTTTGTAGAGAATAATATGGGTGGATAATTGGTGACCAACCGATATTACCCGATCGAACTGACATCTGCTTTATAACACATATCAGTTAAATTTAGGTTATGGATATCTCTGAATCGTTTGATTGGGTATTAATGGATATGGGTGGTCAGATTCGATTTGTAATTTAGAGCCCGTCCAAATCCGGAACCGTCCGGTTGTAATATTAGTATTCTTTAATTAATTATTTATGTATATAATTAATAGTATCTTGTTAATAATCAAAATCAGTCTGAAACAAAGTTGTCTATTTTGTTTCACTATCATATCATGCTTTACATTCACAAGTTTAGGGTTTGAGTCTAATGAAAACTCTCTAACCTTCATCACGCTTCAATCGCTCTCCTCTTCAACCTTCAATCAATTTCCACTCCAACCTTCAACCACCGCTCCAATATTCAAGTTAGCTTCATCATCGTCTCTCTCTCTCCTTGTGTGTGTGCGCGTGCGTGTGTGTGCACGTGCGTGTGTGTGTACCACCATCTTGTTATAGCTAACAGGCGTCCATCATCCCTGTTGGTTTCAGGTTAGGGTTAACGCAGCTCCATCATCGTCTCTCTCGTTACCACCATAATCATCTTCCATCATCGTCATCCCATAGGGTTTGTATTTTTCTGCCTCCAATTACTTTAAAATTTCTCTCAAGCTTTTGATACAGTTATTTTTTATGAAAACCTTCTTGAGTGTTTTGAAAACAAAATACATGTTAGTGTTTTTTTATTCCTGTTTTGGTTTGAATTCCCTTGATTTTGATTCTTTTATGTTCTCTTGATTTTGATTTGAGTTACATGTTTTGATTGTTGTAAATTATAATAAGTTGATAACCAATTGTGTATGGGATTTTTGTTTTTAAGAAATTGTTGTAAATTCTTGTAAGAAATTGTTGTAAATTGTTTTGATAACCAACTATGTATGTGCTTTTGTTTCAGTTACTTTTTATAAAAGCCTTATTTTTAAGAAATTGTTGTAAATTATAAGAAATTGATTGGTCTAATCCCAAATGTGTATGTGTTTTTTTATGCAAATTTTTGACAGGTGAGCTGTGATGTAACTTGAAAGTTTTAAGAGTTATGCAAGAAGTTCAACTTCAAGATATGGAAGGAGTTGGAGAAATGCGAGGAACTGAGAATATGAAAAATATCTGTAAGTTTAGGAAATGTTTATACAAGATTAGGTGTGTGATTTTGTGAGTATGTGTACATTTTGAGCATGTTTCTTAGTTTGTATTGAGCTTGCTTCTGTTTGGTTGCTTAAAGAAACAGTTTGCTAAATTATAAACAAATTGAGTGGTAGTTAGTGAGTTCAAGGAATTATGATATATGAAGTTTAAACTCTAAGTATTTGTGATGGTTGCTTATTTGTGTCTATGTTTGGTTGCTTATTTGTTTTTATTTTGGTTTTGCTTATTTGCTCAGTTATGGAGCAAGACACTCCAATTATAAATGAACATTCTCCAACCTCACATAATGTACCAACAACCACAATACCTATTAAACCAACCACAAATCTTCCGCCTATTCCTACGAAAAGAATACCTAATGCAAATGGTAATAGAAAGAGATCCGAGGTTTGGGACCACTTTAACCTTATTCCTAATAGTGACCCCCTACTACTATCTGTAAGTACTATCATCAAATGTACATGTGTGACTCTAAGAAACATGAAACATCAAACTTAAAGAGTCATATGAAAATATGCCCTAAGTATCTGTTGAACCTGTCAACTGACCCTACCCAAATAATCTTAACATTTTCAACAACTCAGGGAGTTGGGTTGGTTCCAGCAAATTCTAGGTTTGATCCTGTAGGTTGTAGAAAGGGGTTGGCTTATTTTATCATTTTGGGTGAGAAACCATTTATCACAGTTGAAGGAGAGGGGTTCAAGTACTTTTGTAAGCAAATACAACCTCAATTTTCTATACCGTCGAGGAGAATCATAGCTAGGGGTTGTTTTTGATTTTATCTTGATGAGAAAGTGGGGTTGAGAGCATTTTTTAAGTCTGATTGTAGTAGAGTGGTCATTACAACCGATTGTTGGACATCTGTCCAAAATCTAAACTACTTGATCCTCACTGCCCATTTTATTGATAGGGATTGGAATTACCAAAAAAGGATTATTAGCTTTACAGCTATTCCAAATCACTGTGGTAGAACAGTTGGTAAGAAGGTTGAGGATGAGAAATGTTTCCACCATTACGGTAGATAATGCGGCATCAAATGATGTTGCTGTTAAATATTTAGAGCAGAAAGTAAGAAACATGAATGAACTTTTAATGGATGGGTTTGAGTTTCACATGAGATGTTGTGCTCATATACTCAATTTGGTTGCGAGAGATGGATTAAAAGTAGCCAACACCTCAATTTCAAGTGTTAGAAATGCAATTAGGTTTGTGAGATCTTCACCCCATAAAACTTTAAAGTTCAAGGGATGTGTGAAATATGCCAGAATTACATGTAAGAAGTCATTGGATAATGTATCGACAACCACCATGAAAAGGCCATTGGATAAAGGAAGGCATGTGATAATATCCATAGAGACAACCACCATGAATTTATCTTTCTCAGCGTTGGATTGTTCTTGATCCTTTTCTCTATGTTCATGTCTTTGATTACCTTATTCAGTTTGTTGTCTCAATGTGTTTGGTTCTAGGATAAAGTAATTGATTTTGAATAAAAAAGTGAGTTGAAAAATCATTTATGGTTGAATAGATCCATGTAAAAATTTCTCCTTTCCTATATTTTTTGTGGGAGCCTTAAAACATGTTACATAATTAAAATTCAATTCCAAATAAATCAAGTGACAAATGATATTTTGAATATACGTACTTGCATTCAGAGGAGGAAATGATGAAGGTAGAAAGTTCTTCAAGGTTCTTCAATGTTACTTTAGTGGTTTCACAATGGTGTTTTGGTTGTGTTGGTTGATGTTATTAGACTTATTTGGCTTTATTAATGCTCCTACATGTAATTTATGTTGGAAGGATTAATTTAAACTTAGATTTGATATGGTCCTTGAAAAGATTAATTTTAATTTTAGTTAAACAATTTAATTGTATTAATGTTATTGACAATTTAAATTCTGAAAAGAACAATTTTAATTTGAATTCTAATAATAATTTTGAATGTTTTTTAACAATTTAAATTGTAAAATTTTGAAAGCCTAATATATGACTCATTTCTTAATAAACAAAAAAAAATTACTTAAAAATATATTTTTGCCATTATAAAATTGGGTCATCCTTAGTCCAAATAAAAAAAATATATTAATTTTCATTGGACCCAATTCTGTAAAATTCAAAAAAACCGAGTTAGCAATCTTAACCCAAATACAACCTAACTCGAAAACACGAAATTTCAACCCGATTAAAAATGGATTAGAATTTTCCACCTGATTAATTGACCGATTTGAACTGGACACGAACTCGAACCGTCCCGATCCGCTGTCCAACCCTAAAGGATACCATATCTTTAAATTATTTTCATCTTTTTAGTCATGTTCTTAATTATATTTTATAATTTTTTAATTAATGATATTGACTAATATTTATGTCCTTATTTTTGTCTCTAATTATAAGGTCTGCTGCCAATTTCACGGTATA